ATTGATTGTTTGCTAGAATAAAGGAGAAAAGTCTGAAGTGACATTTCAGTGACGTAATTAGACTCGGCGCTTCTCCCTCAACAGGTGAAGGAGCGGTCGCTGATGCTCCTGCTGCATTTAAAGAGCTCAAACTCAGCAGTGAGGAGGAGAAAGAGAGCGTTCCTCATGGTGAGGAAGCAGGAAATGAGAACGAGCTCAAGCCTGCAACTGTGAATGCAGAAGAGCAGCCAGGGTCCCAACACCCAGAGAGCCAGACTGTGTTAAAGTTTTCTTTCAGTGATGAGCACAGCCTGTCTGACCTGCACACAGCTGATAAGCACAGCTTCTTGCAATCAACTCTCCTAGATGAGTCAAACACGAAGGAAACGAGCGAAGTTTCCAGAGTAACTGAGGTGGAAAGGTCTGAGGTGTTTCCTTTTGACGAAGACGAGACGATGGAAGGTTCTACATGTGGTGAAGAGATTGAACCTTCAACCGATGAGGAACTAAGGGAGTGGAGATATCCTCAAGGAAACGTGTCGGCTGATGAGGAGGAGAGAGTGTTTAGTGAGGAAAAGGAAGAAGAAATGGAGGCAGCAAGAGAGGGAAAGGAGAAAGAAAGTAGCTTGAGAAATAAAAGTGAACCTGCTGATGATAGAAGTGCTCCAGATCTAGATGTATCAGAAAAGTCAGCTGGCTTTAGTGAACAACAGGAAGACGAGAAGCTTAGAGCAGAAGAGAAGAGGAGTGATGGAGAAAACAGAGTAGATGACTCCTTGATGAGGAAATCGGCTTTAAAAGTCAAAACATTGAGAGAGAAACCATCAGAAACCAACTTTGAAAACGAAACTCAACCTGGTGGGAGGGATGAATGTCAGGGTTCATCTGAGATCCAGATGTCAGACTCGCATCAGGGGGAGAGGGCGGTTTTAGGTGGGCTGAAAGCAGAAAGCTCAAAAAAAGTCACCTTTATCCTGGAGCCGGAGCTGATCAATGGCTCCGATTTGTCTGAGGGCGACGCCTCAGAGGAGTCCAGGGCAGACACCAGTCTGTCAGGTGAGACACGTCTGACAAGCTGCCTCTTAGAGAGGAGCGTCCCTGGGGTGAAGCACTTTGTGGGTGATCATTTTCCACTGGTGAACTGGGAACACTGGGTTCACACCAAGAGGTGATTTTAGAAAACAGAAAAAGCTGTCATTGAATGTGAGCTGTACTCTTATTCCATGTAGATGTAGAAGATGTAAACATTCACAGAGCAGTGACTCATTTTTAATTGGAGGATTTCTTAATCACTTAAATGACCCAAGTCATTCAAAATGAGGCTTTTGCAAAAGAATCCTAGTTGTACCATGTGCACAGATCAGACAGGAAAATAAATCTGAAGATCTTTAACTTATGATCTCTTTAAAAGGTTTAAGTTATAGGTGTCAAACCCAAGGCCCGTGGGCCAAATCTGGCCCGCCGTAGCTTATTATGTGGCCTCCTAGACTCTAAATTACATCAGTAAGTCCTTCTAGTTTTTCACAAATCTGCAAAATTCACACAAAAGCAACAAATTTCCCAAAAAAATTTTTCCTGATTTTACTGCAAATTTTCTCAAAACTGATTGAATCTGTAACTGATACGGCGAGTGATGGTCACATATGACATCATACATTAGTGCAAATATTGTAAGAAGAAAAATCCTTACAAACATTTCCTAATATTCACCACACAATATGTAATTTTGATTTAAAAACAGTCACAAAACCCTGGAGGAACAGCTATTTATTGATATTTTAAAAGTTTAATTGGTTTTATCAATAGATTCTGGTACAACCGACCCTTTAAGAACATTCAGATTTTTGATACGGCCCAAAACGAAAGGGTTTGACCCCACTGGTTTAAGTCTATCAATTAAGTGATAAGTCAAGACTTGTGCACAATGTTGTATCTGCATTAAGATGTCATCCTACTAATTAAGTATTTCTGAACTTAGTGAGTGTTTTACGAATGAATAACTTCAGCCAAACACTTTTAGAGTAAATTACCTTAAAGCATTCGATAAAATACTGAACTTGGATAAAATGACAGCTTTTGTCTTGATTTGTTGTGTTGTGATGTTTTTGAATGGTTTCCTTTGCACATGTATGAGAGAATGTTTCCTGCATTTTGAAGCTGATGCACAGATGATTTATAAACACAATTTTATGTGGATTGTTTGGTTTTGAAAAACCTGAAGCTAATTTGCAATGTTTCCCATCAGATTCAGGGTCAGGCTCTCATGATGACACCAACTCGACAGAAACCATTGAGAAGATGTTTGAAGAGGTGCTGGAATATGCTGGGAGCGCAGAAGAGGAGGGACGAGTTGAGGAAGACGCAGAGGATCATGACAGTGGCATCGGTTCTTGTTCTGTTGGAAAGACTGGCGAGAAGATTGAACGACAGGAAGAGCCCAGAGGAGAGGAACGTGATGAAAACGATGAGCTTCTTACTTTTCCTCAAAGCGGCATCCTCTCTCCTCTCAGCAAGTCGTTTGAAGCTGTGGTTACCCCACTGGTAAGACTGGTTTACACCTTTGCTTTGTTTAAATTTCCTCAAACAGTTTTCATAACTTCTCTGTTTGTGATATTTTCCATCAGCGACTGGCTGCGGCCCAAGAGTCTCATCCTCCACCTTTGCCCCTGTCTCAAGAGGAAAGCAGCACTCCTCCTGAATCTGCTCCTCTGTACAGGTTGGAAAGGATTTTACTCATTTTAGTTCAACTAAGTACAATTTAAGAACCATATAAATCAGTAAAAGAAAGTTAAAGCTGTAATTTCTTTGAATAAAGATGTTTTCATCTACACATTCACACAGATGTGTGTAAATGAGGTGAAAATTGAATAAAGAAGCTGCTAGGAAAAAGTTGCAAATATGAAAAGATGGCGCTAATTTACATTTCTCCTAACATGTGGGATTTGTTAGTTTTAGAAATAAGCAAAGCAAAATGTTTTTCCATCGGAAAACACGTTTCAACAAAATGTCACTATTATAGGTTCTTTATGAGACAGCAGCAGTTTTTAAACCATGTTATCTTGTTTCCGAGTCTCATAGTAGTTTGACGCTAGTTTGCCGTGCAGGTGGCGGATTTGAGTAAACGGCGTTCACTGACCTGATGGTTGTTGTTTGACAGCATCGATGCTTACCGCACACAAAGGCAACGTAAGCTGCCAGCCATCCAGAGCGTGACTCCTGTGGTTCAACGGCGAACGCCAGAGACACCGAAGCCCAAAGAGTCTAACACCAAGGAGAAGATAACGGTGAGAAGCATGTTTTGTTTTTTTCTTCCCTTTACATTCCCTGATATTCGTTTAAAAAAATGGTGTTCTAAAATTAGTTTCAATTTGTCCCCTCTTTGTCAAAGATTTAAGTTTCTTAAAATATTATGAGAGTCACATTTGGGCATTTCAGCAAAGTTATTTTTAAATGTTCTTAAATTTGTTTTGAATCTGTTAAATATTTACTTCCAATAAAACTGCGTGTGGTTGCTCAGGCTCTGAATGAAGAAGCTGGGAAACTGCAGCTGGTGATCAACCAGACGCTGCAGGCGCTGAGCTGCTGCACCGACGTGGAGCACGGACGAGGCTCTCTGGAGGAGGCCGAAGCTGAGAAACTTCTGCTGGTGTCCTGTAAGAAAACCGCAGCGTTTTAAACACCACACTGGATGTTTAATGATTCATGTTGATAGTGAATATTTCTCTACTCAGAATAACTAGCAAGGTGGTGAATCTTTACTTTTTTTTTTTTTTTTTTTCAATAAGATTTAAATCCACAGCTTTAATTTAATAGTCAATTTTGTGCAGCACGTTTCCCAGATATCATCACTTTGCTTTATAGGATTAGGTCAAGCTGTGTTGCAGCAGATAGGCTGGGGGTAAATTGTGAGGTTGTTTTATTTTTTTAAGTCTGTTCTCTCCACTTTTTGCTCTTTAGGTGAGAAACGGTCTGCTCTGCTGGCAGAGGTGTCCAGACTACGGGAGGAGAGGAGCCTGCAAACTGACGAGGCTCCAAAGGAGGACACAGACTACGTTTCCCAGCATGCCTGCAGAGGAACCGTCAACATCACCAGCATCCAGCTGCCTCTGAAGGTCGAGTTTGTCTGCTCATCCAACAGCCGTCCAGGTAGAACCACAGAGTAGCAATGCTGTAATTTTCTCAAAGATTTAAGGCACAAATGTTGCTTCAGATGATGTTTAACGGACTGACTGGTTTGTTGAACTGGTTTAGGTCGACCGAGCCACTACTTCTTCGTCCTGATCCGCTACGGACCGTGCAATGTCATCGCCACGCCGCTGGCCACGGCTGCTGACGCTCAAAATGGAGACACCATCTCCTTCCCGACTGCAGTCACACTGTGAGCTGCACACTGCGCTCTCCTTCTTTTTACAAGTTTTTAAAAACAAAGCCAAATTATTTCCTGATTTTTAACTGCTGAGTTATAGTTTCCAAATAGAAACATTGCTCTACAAATAACTATTTATTAAAAATTTCAGAAAGGATATACGGTCGTCTTTTGAGATTGACGTTGAAGTCTACAGCCTGGTGAGTCATTCATTTTGATTTGTAGAGTTTATAGCCATGGATGTGAGCAAAATTTAATGTAGTAAATTATGTTGTTGGACTTACAGGAGTATATTAAAAATTTTGAAATGTGTGGCAGCCATATTGAAATTTCTTTGGAATTTTCAGTTTTCCATCTCAGAAGCCCTACTTCCGAGATTATTGTATTATTCTTTTAATTTAGACTACAGAGCAAAATGCCAAACCCTTCTTTAGTGCATTCCTTTTTTCTTTTTTTTTTTTTTCTTTTTTTTTTCTTTTTTTTTGTAGTTGGACGTCCCAAAGTTTTTCAATTTTTATTTATTTTTTTAAAAAAACAATCTGTTTGAGTTGCTTTCTTCATCTTTGTTCTGGTTTTGTTTGAACCCAGTTATTATGTTTCTGTAGTTAGGTTTTTTTTTTCTTTTTTCTACAATCTAGTGTACCAGCTCAGGATCCAGCAGTACCTCAGACCGGACCAGCACCAAGTCCCGTGTAAGTGAGCGATTATTTTCCTCAGAAATTCAAACCATGCTAATGAAAGCAGTCTAACTTTTTCTCTTTTCTTTTTTTTTATGTCGATATAATCAGGTCACACCGAGGAAGTTTCTGAACACCCTCACAGTAAGAGTTCATCTGTAATCATGCTCTGCGGTTTTAATGACCTTTTTCTGTTTCGTGCTTCACTCCAATGTCGTCTTGTCATTTGGCAGAAATCCAGCAACATTTTCACGTGTAAGTTGAGTTTCTTTTCAGATTTAACTCTTTGTATTTGCTAAACTCAGTGACGGTTGCATCATGCGGGTTCACGACTCTTTGTTTTTGTTGCTCCACCTTAAGCTCCTGCTGCTCTCAACACTCGCCGCTCCAGTAACTTTTCCCTGGTGGGTTCCCACAAGATCACCTTGGCTTCTCTGGGATGCAGGAAATTTCCTCTCGATAAGGTAATTTATGATTGGTGCTATTTTAGTGTGAAGGTAAAACGAGTCTCTCTCTAGTCCTAAACGGTCACATAATTTACTGAGCAAAATAAAATTAAACTAAGCCGTGATTTTCCTGCTTTAGCTGAAGAACAAAGTGAACCGCAGCTTTTCTCTCGGGGTTCTGCACATTCCTGCACGGTTCAGTTTTATCTCCCAGTGCACCGTTATCACCGTTTTAGTCACTTTGGTCCGTTTTGTTTTAAAGTCCACACCTGGGTGGTCTCACTGTTGACGTGATGTCTGTCCCCCTCCCTCTGTCTGTCCTGCTTCGTCCACTCAGATGAAACTTGATGGCAAAATCAGGAAGCTGCTGGGAGATGAATTTCAGGAAAAGGTTTCACTTTCTTTTTTTTTTTTTTCTTTAGCCTCCATCACTCTTCACATGTCTTCCTTTTTCTCTTCCTCTATGCAAAAACTAACCAATTTCAGTGATAATTAGCACAAGTTAGTTTTTTTTTTCTTTTGTTGCATGTTTTTGAAAGTGTTATTTGCTTCCTTAGTAGTTTTTTTTCTGTGTGAATTCATCCATTTCAGTCCCTTCGATCAAATCAGCATGATGATATTTATGCCCAGTTTTCTTCAACACACACAATCAAAATTAGTTCAAATGTCCTAACCAGATTTAGATTTAGCTCATGTTTATTAGATGAATATGACTGAGTGAAGTTTTTTCTCCATATTCTGTTATTTTGAATGTGACTCCTCCTCTTGTGACTGCAGGTGCCATTTCTTTCACCACTGGAGGGCCACATCTACCTGAAACTGGACAGTGAGGGCCACTCCGATGTGCAGCACCAAGGCTTCCTGGTCAGCAACGTTACCATTTTGTTACTTATCCCCCCTTTTTTTTTCTACAGCAGAGTTATGCTTTCAGTAAATATTGAAAGGTTTCAGAGTATAAATTTTAAACTGGAGTGTTGAACTCTGAGAACCTTCAGGTTTTTCTGGCTAATCAGCTGAAGGCGAGTTCTGGCCGGAATGGCAAATTGCACAACAGATATTACATTATTGATTACAATTACTTTTATTGCCTTAAATGTGTTTGCAGTTGTACTGAAGTAATTTGTTCTGCATTCCTTGTATCAAATGCAGATCTGTTGCAATCAAAACATCTTAATGCAACCATTTAATCATGAAATTTCTGCTTTAATCTGGGGAACAACTTAATTTCCTCTCTGGGAGTTTCTGCAAAAGTCCTTAAATTTATAACGGTCTTAGATTTTTTCCATCATTTATAATTTCTGCAGGCCCAAGTTGGCATATTGAAGTAAATTGCGCAATGGTTGGAAGAGACTTTACTTTTTCCTGGAATGGCTCCCAGGAGGTCTCTTTGGACTTAAAAACCTGTCAGCATTACTTGGATTTGTAAAGGCAATAAATCTCCACTTTTCCTTTGTCTATGTGGGAAATGACCTCCCAGTCGTTGGCATGGACCGTTTCTCTAAACAAACTTTTGTGAATGTCCAAAAGATTATTTTGAGACCAACGGGTGATGCTAAAATGTCTCCACAAAAGATGCTGGTTATCGAAGTGGAAAAATCCTGGGATTGCTTCTGTCTTTTCTCCCCAGACGATGTTTGAGTTGATCAGTGGATTTGGCGTGTGGAATCGGCGATATTTTGTTCTGGAGGAATGCAACTTGTCCTACTGGAGCAACCCAAATGACAGGGAGACCAAGGTAGTGACCGACCAACAGGTGTTTCAATAAGGAGGGGGAAAAAGCCATCAGGTGACTATTTGATTCTCTGGTTGAACTCTTCAGGAAGCAGAAGGCAGCATCTCTCTGTCCAGGTCTCCTAGTCAGTGCGTCAGGCCCGTTAAGAGAGATTCATGTGCTCGACCTTTCACCTTTGAGCTGGTGAACGCCTCTCAGCAGGAAGACCAAAACCAGGAAGCGCTGTCCAAGTAAGTTCATATAAAACTGTCAACATGATCCATCCCACCTGGTAAAACATGAAATGATGGAACGGGCGTGGCCTCTATTCACCCACATTGCACAGAGAATGAATGAACTGTTTCCATAGGTTGGTCTATTAATGGAAAATATTTTCACGTCCTGATGAATCTTCCTCACTCTTCAGTCTCTTATCTCTGTGTCTCCACCACTCCTGATCAGCTTCAGTCTTTTGACCTAAAATCAGTTGTCAAAAGGCCTTGAGATGAATAACAATTAACCAAATATCTGCAACATGCAGAGAATAACTGAAGGGTTCTTGAAATGCAACGCATTACACCAAGCTGTGCTTAGTCATTTCGACCCTGCAGACAATCATTTGAGATGATGATTGAAGTTTGAGTTAATTTTTCTGGCATAAGTATTCTTGGTTTGTGTATAATAATAATAAATGTCTTGTAACTTTTCTTTAAGTTTTATTTTTTTAGTAAAAGTACAACAGCTTCCCACAAAAGATTAAATTTATAAAGTTAATGCAAGTTAACTATTTAGTAAAACTATTTTTTACTAATGTAATCCTGGAATACGTTGCTTTTTTAATTGAACCAAGTTATGACAGTCTGACTTGTGCTAGTTTGCGTTTTTATTTAAAATTTTTTAATGTGTCGAGCCTTAAACTCTTCATAATGTGTGAGCTGCTGATGAATGAGCTGTGTGTTTGTGCTGAACCTCTCAGGTGTTGGTTCTCGGCCGACACCAAGCAGGAGAGGTTGGACTGGATGGAGAAGCTCAACCAAGCCCTGCTGGACTTTCACACGTGGAACCGTCCCCCGGCTGAGAACCAGGCGCCCAACACGTCCAATATGTCCAACACGTCCCACATGTCCAACACGTCCCACAGCGGGACCCTGACGGAGAGCATCCTGTAGTCCTGGAATCAGCTTTTAGGTTTTGGTATGAGCCGATATGTGGGATTAGATTAGAGCTGTGGGAGACATGATGAAACATCTCATGTTTTATTGATGGGAGACGTGGCTAATTCATTTTTCAGTTTTAATCCTAATCTATAATTGTTGGGTTTCACTTTTATTTGCAAACACAAATATTTTAGTTTCATGTTGTCAGATTCTTTTTTTTAACTGGTTTTATTTTTTTTTCAGGATTTCGTTTGGTGAGCAGCTGCTCTGTTAATAATTGGTCACTTTAAGTTGTTGTCGCCTTTGCTATCACCAATATTTACTTATGTACATGTACGGATTCAGACTCTATTTTTATTGCTCAAGCTTGAAGTATAAATGGTGATCAATACACTAATACTAAATAAATGTATGACTAACGCAGGACGGGAGTGTCTGTGAGAACAGAAACGCTACAAATGAGAGAACGTGAAACCGATCAAAAGTCGTTTTCTCTGCTAAATGTTTGGGTTTGGCTGCATTCAGAAAGCTGAGGGACAAAAAGCCTATTGTTTCTGGGATTTAATTATGTGGAAGAGAAATATACAAAACAATTTCATTCACCTTGATGTGAAGGAGAGTTTATTTGCTTAGACTTTATATATCACTAATTTACAAAATTGTACCCTTAATATCTCAAATGGTAGCAATTTTAGTTTTTCTTTCAAAGTGAGATTTTTTTTCTTTAAAAATATATACAGACCCTTTGATAATCAACATTGCTGGCGTCTTGTCTGACTTCATTCCCAGCACATTAAGTGTACATCATTATTGCAAATACAAATAGTTACTGATGTAAACATGTATGTAAGGTGAGGATAAATGATTTGATCCGTTTAGTTTTCTTTCCCCTCTGTCATGTTGTTGGTTTTCTTGCTTTCTTGTTGGTTTTCTTGTGTTTTCAGTCTGTGCATCTATTAGAAAGTATAAATAAAGTCTAAGGATTGAAACCTGAGGCTCGGATGATTAAATCTGGCATGAAATAAACAAATATCGCTCACTTTGAACTGCAAAAATATTCTTTCATGAATGGTAAAGTTTCACATTAAAACCACAAACCTCCAGATATTTTATCACAAAGTTTGTGATGAAATAATTAGGATGTAGAGGGAAAACGATGCAGGGTTTGAAAACCTTTTACAAATTTAAAACTGAACATGCTGTAAATTCACTTTACATTTAACTCCACCTTCATTATGGTGTGTCGCTGTGGTTACGTCTACTGGCTTTCCACATAGGAGCAACTTGGCACTGCATCTCCATTGGATTTAGGTCTGGACTTTGATTAGGACAGTATAAAAATGAGTGAACCATTCTGACTGCTCTCCCCGGCGAACCTCCTGCCCAGTTTCATGGAAGCCTCTAACAGGCTTTCCTCCTGAAATCTCCTGCGCTCATCACAGCCTCCCTTCCTGCAGCTTCGCCGTCTTTAACCCCACAGCATGATGCTGCTGCTGCTGCCAGGTTTCACAGTGGGATAGTTGTTCTGGTCTGCATGTGAAGGCCAGAAATTTTAGTTTTGGTCACAAAAGATTATGGCTCCTCATTTCACATTTGCAGTCTCCCTAATGTAGACTTCTTGTGACTTTTTTTCTTAAAATTCATCCGTCAGTGCCAGATTTATCAAACCTGTGACTAATAATCGTCTTGTCGATGGTTTTCCACCTGAGCTATAGATCTTTGCATCAAACCTATTGATTTCTCTGCTTCTAATGCAACAAAATACGAAGAAGCTGAGTATTTATGCTTTCGCAGGACATTTTTCTGCCTTAATGTAAAGTCATTTCAGCATCAACAGGAAAGGTAAATATTTCCTGCTGTCTTGTTTGGTTCTTTCACACCTGAGTAGCAGTGTGTTGTATGTCGTGCCAACTAAAACTGAAGCTCTGCTCCGCATTCGGAGCCTGCAAGAGTCTGGCAGGAAGGCGGCTCAGGTCAGGAATGTCGTACAGGAAGTGGTCTAGAATTAGACTTCCTGTTCGCTCCTCTGGGTGGAGGTGCTGCTGGGCGTCATTAAATCTAAGGTGATGACAACAAGGAGGGGAGGGGGGCTGCACCTATTCAGCTGCGTTGGGCGGGGCGACGCTGGTGTTTTCAGCAGCTGTGCTTTCCAGTGGCACAGAAACGCCTCACACAGCTGGGACAGATTTTTACTTCATGACATTAACCCGTTCATGCATGACTTATGATCCTTTGTGTCGGGATTCTTTTTTTTTTTTTTTTCAATTTTTTTTAATTTTCTTCGGCATAAAAAAAAATGGGTAGGAAAAAAATTTGGAAACTTTTTTTTTTTTTTTTAGGTGATCAATTGTAATTTTCTCCAAATACAAAGTTATTTGAAAAATACATCAGTAGTATTGTTCCTTAGGGGATACCTGGTGTCACAATATTTTTTTTTTTTTTTTTTTTACCTGCGAGGGGCGTTCCGCAGGAAAGGGGGGGAGGGGGCCGGCGCGGATGTTTTTTTTTTTTTTTTTTTTTTTT